ATTTCCTTTCAGCGAATGAGAAGGTGGAGGATATCAATGGCAGCCCCAGAAGCCAGTCGCAAATGGTGAGTGTTGCAGCCAAACTTTTATATCCAGCCTTTAAAGCATTGTTGCATGAGAATGAATTATGATTATGAGGAATACTTATCTGAGGAGCTGACCTTGAACTGCTCTGCTGTTGTAAGCTATATTGCAGTTTTAAAGTTGTACTTGTATACTTCTTTTATACTACATTTTACACCATCCAGGTGATGCTCTTGCCTATAATTATCTCATATGTGTCCTAAATTAGACTAAAATCACTCCAGTGGTGCAAAGTAACTAAGTACATTTACTCAAATATAGTTGTGAGATACTTGAAATTTATGTAGGTATGTACACTTTTTGCTACTTTATACTTCCACTCCTCTATCTTTCAAAGGGACATATTGCATTCCACTTGTTTGACAGCTGTCATTACTAGTTACTTTTCAGATTTAGATAATACAATACATATAGTTACTTTTAAAATAAAATGCATTGTTAATGTAGTGTCAACTTGGGGCGCCTTGTCACATTTGGCAGGTCTGTGAGTTGTTAGCAGCTACAACAGAGAGATTTCCCCTCTAAACTTCTCAGCTGGTTTCTTTGAAATTAACAGTTTGAAGCCAAAAAAGGTCAAATGATCCATTACCTCACAAAGAAGCAAAGATTACAGAAAAGTTCAACTTTCATTTTATCAACTCCATCATTTATCACACGACCCCTCAGATTTAACCTGTGAGCCTTTGGAGGGGTCCGCTCCCCAGGTTGGAAACCACTGGACAGAGCTAGTAATTATGTATAGAAGTTACAATCAGCTCCACCTTGAGCAGATACATCTTTAAAATGCTACATATGCATTGATGCATCAGTATTAACAATCCTGTTATGTAATGATATCACTCACCCATACTGATGATACCTCTGTAATATTACCTAAGTAATACCTAAGTATGAGTTTGAATACATGTCATTGTTGTATTTTTTTTTTATTACTTTTACTGAAGTAAAGGATCTGAATACTTTGTTGAATACTTTGTACACAACGTGCCATGCACTCTCAAGTCCCAGCTGAAATCTCCCAAAGGCAAAGTTTTGACTGTGATCACAAACCATAACCGTCTTTACCATTCAGAAAGATGGTGATGACTGTAGTAACCGCATTGCCACTTGACCGAAAACAGAGCAGATTTAGAAGTTTAAACCCTAACATATTTGACTTACTGTGTCGTTTTCAATCATCTGTATTTCTGGCTGCCATGCTGAGCGATGCTGGCGGTGTCATTTTCCCCTCTGTTAATGAGATGACGGGCTGTATAACCGCTGATTGTCGTCACTGTGAGATAATTACCCCTCACTTTAACTAGAGTTGACTAAGTGTTTATGCAGTGTTGGTTTGCCCTGGCATCTGCCCTCCTGCCATTAAAAGTGACTAAAGCTATTGAGCTGCTTTGGTGCACTTTCTTAGTAAGACACTGTGGGCGAGGAGTGTGTATGGTCCTGACAGTGTGTGTCTTTTGTTTGTCAGTTTTTGTGCCCTATTGTTAAAGCTGTGTTTTTTATGTGTATAGCTTACTGTACAGGATTTTTGCATTATTGGACCATTTTTATATATCGGACTATGGATATATATAGTGATATATATCCATAGTCCTAGTATGTGTCAGTATTTCAATGTCAATAGATTTGATAAATTCTCTGGGGATGTCTGAGGGAGATCATGAAACATTTCCAAAAGGTCCTATCACTGGAATGAAACAGAATGTATTTTACAACTAGCTTCACACGTTCAGACAGCACAGTATTCAGCTGTTTTATTTTTTATTTTTTTACCAGCTGTAATAAAAGCAGACTGTGCACTCTGCTAGAAAAACAACATTAAAGAACCAGGAAGGAAAAAAACTGTGAATCCTGGGAACTCCTAAAGTCACAGTGTGAGTTTAATGTGTCAAAATCAGTTCTGGAAAGATAAGCTCTTTTGCTTTTTTTGTCAGATAAAGTAATTCAGTTCCTGGCTAGAAACAGCTGAGTCCAGACTGACGCACTGGTCACTAAGGGCGAGCTGCAGCACTGCAAGCATGTGGCTCGATATGCCAGCGACCTCTGTGTGTGTTGTGTGTGTGCTTGTGGTGTCGGTGCGCTGCGCGTGGTTCGTGTCGTGTGCTTGGATTGTGGTCGTGTGCAGCTAGCTCTTTGTCTCACTAAGCCCATTGATCCACCACCTGCTCCGACCACAGAGGGTCCGGCCAGCTTGGGAATCTGAAGTTGGAGGAAGCACGGTTGCTTATAGAGTGGGCGCAAAGGGAAGGAAACATCTGACGCACACAGACACACAGACACACATAACAGCCACAAAGATGTAGCCAGCTAGAACAACCAAATAAAAAGGTTTATACTGGGGAAGGTAAAAGGAACTGTTTGTGAAGCAGTTGCTTTAAAGACGTTTGAGACAAAAGTCATCAGCATAAAGTTTATTATGAAAACAGGTGCAGTGAACTTTAACACACAATTTTAATGGAACTTTAATATCTGAGTTAGTTGCATATTGTAGAGAGAAGAAGACTGCAGCTAGAATCATACTTTCCACGTCCATGAGGATATGCTAGGGTCTGCATAAATTTGCCATCTGATTGCCATCAGAGTCTGTAAACTGACACCCAGATACCTCCAATTTGTTGGTCCACAAGGGAAGCTCTTCTTGTAGACGCCAATTTATATGTGTGTCCTCCAAGCAGCCTCCAGCAATGAATACTGTAGAAACCAGAACTACTATGCGGCACTGATGTCCACGGCTGTCCATGTAATACGCCCTTTTGGGAGTATATTCAGATCTTAAGGGTGCTTTCACACCAAGCTGCTTGGTTTGGTTCAAACCAACTCTGGCACATTTGCCAGTTTGGTTCGGTTCATTCCATCTAGGTTCCATGTAGTACTAATGATGCAACAAAGTTGCAAAAAATGTCCAACTGAATAGTCAGTCCATAATGCTTACAGCTTTTGGTTCGTTTGTAAAAAGTCAGTTTGAACACAAACTAGAGCAGAACTAAAAGGCAATAATGTAGCTTTTTTTTCCATAGTTGAACCACATGATCCCACTACCCTAAGAGATCTATGTGATGACACATGAACATATGGCTCTCCAAATGCAGAAGTATTTTGTTAGGCTTATTTATCCCATGGGTTTGAACACTGATGTCAATCTGCAACTTTAGTTATTTACTGACAACCTTTCCCCCGTTAACTCTTGGCTGCGTATTGACAACACGAGCTGTGAAGTTTGGAAACCTGCCACTGGCCACCTAGCACCTGGAGTTTAAACGCCTTGGCCAGAGACATCACAGTAGCAGCAGCTGTCAGTGGAGGGGCCGATGAGTCTGATTTACTTCCTCTGCACAGATTCTTCCTCATTTGGGACTTGAAATGGTGATCCTGCAGTCGCAAGCCTGTTTTCTCTAAGCGGTGGGTCGCTGCTGGTCTGGTGAGTGGACAGAGGCCAACTGAGCAGCTGCTGGAAGCCGAGGAGCAGAAACCAGAACGTCACCAGCATCTGCAAGCTTTTCAGCTAATCTACATCCATAATGCCCTCTTTTTGTTTAAACCCGTGTTCACAATGCGGGAGATCAACAAGTCAGTTGCAGAACTATCATTTCCTGCAGAGCTAATCCAACAAAAAAACTCGGCGGATGTGCGGGCAGTCAGTAAGAGTAATGGCCAGCAAAACTCTGCTATGGCTTTCACAAACATCTGCCACCAGCAGCCAGTTCCTTTTACTTCCTTTTTTTCGTTTTAAGTTTAAAATGCTCCATCCATCACTGGAGTGCAGTTTTTCATTTTGATACATGATCATATCAAGCCTATGCAATCTCTACATTTTGCTGTTCATTCACCAGCCATTCCATGCCTTCAGTTGGCGCCTGAATACTTAGTCCTTATAATTATAAGGCCAAAGGGTGTCACCCCTGACTGCGCAGAGGGCTCATAAATAAATAATTTAAATAAATAATAAATAATTAAATAAATCATTTAAATAATTTCCCCCTGGGATTATTAAAGTATTTCTGATGATGATTTCTGATTCTGATTCACAGCAAAGAACAGTAGAGTTATGAATTAATAGCCACCCTCTCCCAGTTTTCCCTCCTCTACATGCTCTAATTTGCTCTCATCAAGAACAATATGTAAAAGAGTTTGACCTTTGATCTTCTTACTGTTACAGTGTATAATAAAAACCTGCATTTCTAGTGTGCAGGTATTAATGCTAAAAGGTCAAACTTTGGTCTCTTGATTGCTAATGTGAATTTGAAGATTGAAATGTCACAGCTTTTAAAATGTTGTCCCATGGCTGAAAATAATGCAATAAAAAAGCAGTTATAGTTCCACTTCCAGCCTTTAACTAATATGGTGTTGATCCTCTCTACCCAAAATCCCTTAGTTTTAATAATGCAGATTGAATTCCTTTCTTGATGTTTCTCCTGATAGAGCAAAAGTGCAGCAATTTACAACAAAATGGCTCTCTACTTCTGTACTGCACAGTAGTCACTTTTAGAAATGGAAGTATTTTTCTTTTGGCTTGTTAAACATCTACATTGTTAATGCAAATGGGATTCCTCCCATTTGAGGCCTGGCGTTCCTAGTGGTCGGACTGGTCTAAATTGTGAACATGCCCGTTTTTCCCAGTAGAGCTTGCGGCTGGTGTGTTTTCAGGGAATAGTTTTGGTTGGATTTATTGGTGTAGGAACTAATGATTACTGGGAATTTGTTCCTGAAATGGGGAGCGGGGCTTGTCTACAGAAGCATACCCTTGACCACATATTTGGTCCCGGAAGGAATCATCTGCAACCGCTGAGCAAGCCAGTAAAGATGACGAGGACGAGGAATGACAGGAGCGTGGTACGAGGGGCTTTCAAACCCAGCAGAGATTTGATTTTGGTTCTGTTTCTTTCCACTGCGTCTATTCTCACTGTATCACATCTGTGATAATAGATAAGAGTAGGGATGGAAAATGAAGATTTAATGGGTAGAGAGTGACGTAAGGCAGGTTTGG